GTACAGCAGAAATTAACACAACATTGTAAATCAACTATGCTCCAATAAAATAAATTAAAAAAACACAACAAACCGTTCTTAGCTCATGAGCTAACCAGGCAGTGGGCTAGATTTGGACTGTGGCCCGTAGTTTGCTGAGCCCGGCACCAGATAAACAAAAAGAACATAGTTTTTTTTTTAATGTAACTATTGTTGACTTACAATATTGTGTTAATTTCAGGTGTACAGCTTCAGATTCTTTTCCATTATAGGTTATTATAAGATATTGAATATCATTCTCTGTGCTGGAGAGTAAATCCTTATTGTTTATTTTGTTTTATTTTATTTTTTTAATTAATTAATTTATTTTGGGCCGGGTTGGGTCTTCGTTTCTGTGTGAGGGCTTTCTCTAGCTGTGGCAAGCGGGGGCCACTCTTCGTCGTGGTGCACGGGCCTCTCACTATTGGGGCCTCTCTTGTTGCGGAGCACAGGCTCTAGACGCGCAGGCTCAGTAGCTGTGGCTCACGGGCCCAGTTACTCTGCGGCATGTGGGATCTTCCCAGACCAGGGCTCGAACCCGTGTCCCCTGCATTGGCAGGCAGATTCTCAACCACTGCACCACCAGGGAAGCCCTTTATTGTTTATTTTATATGTAGTGGTTTGTATCTGTTAATCCCATACTCCTAACGTATCTCTCCCCCTCCCCTTTCCCCTTTGGTAACCATAAGTTTGTTTTCTATGTCTGTGAGTCTATTTCTGTTTTGTAAATAAGTTGGTTTGTATTATTTTTTTAGAATCCACGCATAAGTGATATCACATTTGTCTTTCTCTGTCTGACTTACTTTACTTAGTATGAGATTTTTAAGGCTTTGGGTACAAGTTGCCAAACTATCCTCCAGAAAGGCAGAAACAGTTTACCCATAGCCCCGGGCAGTGTAGGCACCTGTCTGTGGGCCTGCTCTCGCCAGTAGCAAGGTTTGCAGGGCACTAGACACCACTTGCCAGGCTCTGGGCCTTGTCTTGACAGCCCCGTAGCCCAGGGGTTGGGTCTCAGAGTTGGGAGGGACCTGGAGGTGGCTGGTCCCAACCTGCAGCAGGGCCGGCCTGAGCTCCCTAAAGACCCTTGGCTGGTACCTGGTGATCGCAGATATGGGGAATGGTTGGGGACTGCAGCCTGGGGGTAGCTCTGGGATCTTGGGTGGGGAGGCTGGCGCCAGAACCCTGTCCTCGCTGACCCTGTGTCCCCCTCCCTGCAGGGACTTGTGCCGACAGGACCATGGCTGCACCTACTACTTTAGCATAGATGCTGATGTGGCCCTGACCGAGCCTAAAACCCTGCAGCTGCTAATCGAGCAGAACAAGTGAGGCTTGGGTGGGCTGTGCCTGCTGGAAAAGCAGGCCCTCGGAGCCAGGGCTCACGATGCCCCTGGGCCTGGGCCTGGGCCTGGGGTGGGAGCCCCTCCCCTGTCTTTCTCCTCCTCCCCCGCCTTGGCCTCACCTGTGACCCCGGGCTTTTCCCAGCCTGGCTACCTTGGTCTAGGACGTTCCCCACCTCCCGGCCACAAGCCCCAGCCTCACCCCCCCACTCCCATCCCCCCAACACCCCCCCACCCCCCACCCCCCACCCCCGCCTAGCCTTTCCTGGCTGCCC